ATTCCGATCCCCATTTTGATTTGCATAAGCATCACAACCGTTGTCTCTCCAACTCTTGGTCATGCGCTTCCTGCGCTTCGCGCGCGGTACGCTGGACAGAAGTTTCATCATCTGGCATTTTGCACGTGGGTTTGTTTCAATAAAGCTCCTAATTACAATTATTTTGATCACGCACTGTACAACGGTTGACGAAATTATTTCTATTATAAATTTTTTTTTTGTATTGAATAATTAGCTGCATAATTTCCCTACGAATGACGAGCTGGAGAGATTTCACAAATAAAACTCTATCGAATACATTTAATTCGTAAAGAAATTCCTATAGAAAGTGAAATCCGAGAGATTCCTTATTTTTAAAGAACAATTTATTCGTTTGTTACCATAAAATCTCAAAGTTATGTATTCAATCTAACGAATCGAACCGCTCAGGCGGCAGAGTGGGGGCAGGTATCTCACTTCTGATACCAAATTTTTGTTAAATTAATTAAATCAACTATCACATGTCTTACAGTGTCCTGGCGTGAGATGACTAATTTCTTATGGATCCTACCTTAAAGTGTTGAACACATTCCTTGCGTCATCTCGTGCGAGTCAGATCTCATTATATTTTAAATGGCATTGATATTTTTGGGTTTGATTACTATGTCTAACGTCGAATGAAACTCTCGAAATTCCCCGATAGAATATTTATTGACCCAATGACAGATATCTTTCAAATTTTCACAAAATGAAAATTGACACATCGATTAAATCATTTTTTTTATATATAGGATTGTAAGAATTAAGAAAATTCAAAAACAAAATCAGTAGTTAATTTAGGAGAGCGAGAGAGAATCGGCCTTGATGCTATTTCGCAATATTTTCGATCTCGGTTATTTTGATTTAGTTTCATCGCGTTGAGGCAAGTCGGTGATTTTATTCCTTAACAAAAATCTAAATAAGCTCAGCCCGATTTAAATGGTTACAGGTGATTATTAAATCCCAGACTGGAGGTCGAGTTCCCTCTGGACTCCTGTCGGCTCGTCTGCTTCAGGCCGTCGGCAACGGCAGGTGATCGGAAGAAATCGTATCCAAATTTTAAATTAAATCGTTCCAAATTTTCACCAGAAAAGTTTCAGTCTTAAAATATATTTTTGGATTTTTGCTAGTTCTTTCACGATTTGAGTGTTTAAATTTTTGATGTCTAATTTGTCTTCGCTTTTCGTAATTTTAAGTTCACAGTAAAAATGATGAGGTACCGTCCATTTAACTCTAACTTCACAGAACTGGAATTTTACCAATACAAGTTGAAAGCCTTCGAAATATCAAAATAAAATGAGTCCAATCAGGGACACTCGAGGTGTATGATATGCTCCGTAACACGTCTACGAAGATCGACGTAATTGACGTGTGTCTTTGTAGGAATTATTACTGCGAAAATCACTCGTTTTCACTCCGCACAATTTACCGATCGGTTGGGAGCCCAAGATTAAGGGTAGCGAACTCGGCATTGGGGTAGCGAGAGGAATAACGCAGGAGCCAATGATTATGTTATTTCGTCGATAATGTAGCCGTGACTGTCTTCTTTTTGAGCGTCACCGTGTTGCGATGCGCTCGACGAGGATGCTTGGGTCATCACTCCCCGGGCACACGTGCAAATCGGTGAGCGCGATTAGAAGGTATGGGTACAAACATTGCGCTGATTCCCATCGATTTTGCCTCGCGACAGCCGCTAAACGTCAGCTTTAGAACCGAATAAAAGTCGGAATAAAATCATCAGGATTTTTAAAATTCTGTACACAACGCTCAGGACCAGCATTGATATGGTATGGTGCACATCTCCAAGAATTCCGAACTTGGGAAGATGTTCGAGAAATTTTCCGAACTACGTTCACGGATCCTGACCATCAGACTGCAATTCGTGAGGAACTTGCACTCCGTACTCAGGCCGAGTATGAGTCGGTCACTAACTATTTCGCGTGCATTCGAGGATATTACACGCGCATCGTCCCCGCTGTTAGTGAGTTGGATCAGGTGGTGCAAACACACCACAAACTCCTCCCAACCCTCCAAGTCGGGGTCACCCTTCATGACAACATGACTATGGATGAGTTGGAGAGAACACCTAAGCGTCTCGAGAAAATCTACGAGAAAGTAGACGTCCGCCTCCCAAGCCGGGGCACTCGATTTGTCCCAGTTTGGCTTATCGTCCTTCTCGCCCAGCTCGCTCACCGGCGCGACCGTCTTTCCGTCGTCCTTCGATGGTTTCCAAGCCCTCGTCCGCTCGCGCTGTGTTGTTTGAAGGTGAGGATATTGAGAATTCCGAGGGAGATCCCCAGAAGTATGGTGATGATTACCTCGAGGTTGTTGCGGCACATGTGCCGTCCTCACGTTCCCCTCGAGTAACAAATACCCATCCAGCCAAACGATTGGCTTGGAAAGGAACTATCCAAGCTCGTCCTCGTTCCCGAGAGAGATGTCCTCGCAATCCTGCTCCTCCTGCATCAAGACCAGTTGGTCAACCTGTTGAAGTTGATCAAAATCCACCAGCAGCTCACGCTGCCGGTGAGGCTGTTGGCTCTCGTCTACCTCCCAGGCAGAATTTGGCCAACTTAGAGTGTTGGAACTGTGGAGGTTTCGGTCACCCTCATAGGCCCTGAACCTCGTCGAGTTTTCTGCTACAGCTGTCGAAAATCGGGTGTCACCACCCTTACATGCCCTTTCTGTAATCCTGGTAACGCGGGAAACGGGGCCAGAGGTACTTAAATCCGGCTCCCGTCTCTCGACTCCCGCAGACATCTAAGCCGCCTCCTCATTGCGCCGCTTGCATTCTTGCATCGCAAAGCGTTCTGAGCGAAGACGATCCTCCTCCTCCGCGATCGCATTCGCGTTCGTTGGATCTATCCCAGTTGGGATCTGATCCACATGCGCTACTGAAACCGGAGCCTATGCCCCCGAACGACGTAGTGTTGAACGCAGCTTCTGCTATAATTCCTCGAGCCTTCCATGTCGACATCGTAATTGGTGGTCTTCGTGTCCGAGCGTTGGTAGATTCAGGGGCAACCAAATCCTTTGCTGGCATGGCCGGTATTCGTTTCTTTGAGAAGGTTAACATCCCGCTGTTAGAAATACCTGCGAAAAGGGTCATAACAGCTGGCGGAAAAATCGAGCTCATCAAACACTCTGCCGCATGTATCGTCGAGATTGAGAGGTATAATACACCCCTAACCGCATACGTCATGCCGACGTTATCCGAGGATTTCATCCTCGGGATGGATTTCCTTGTGTCTGCCAAGATTGTGATCGATTTCTTCGATCAGACTTGGTGCTATCGAGAGGAGCCTGAGACTCGTTTTTAGTTCATCCCCTTGGATCAAGTTCCGAAACTCACAATGTGTTGTGGGCTATGGACTATCGAGAAATCACAAGAGCAACGGCTCCGTGAATTTCTTAACAAAGCCCTCTCGAAGAAGGAAAGCAAGCTTGAGGTCATAGAAATTACCTCGCATCATATCGATGTGAACAACAATCCACCTATTCGGCAACAGCCGTACCATACAACCGCCGCTATTAGGGATATTATGTGGAAGGATGTGCAGGAGATGTTAGAAAATAACATTATCGAACCCTCCCAGAATGACTGGTGTAATCTGATTGTCATGGTCAAAAAGCCCAATGGCATCTATCGGTTCTGTATCGACTTTCGCAAGGTGAACGCGGTCACCAAGAAAGACGCTTATCCCATACCCAACATGACGGGTATTCTGGATGAATTACATCAAGCGCATTATATCATGACGTTTGACCTTAGCCAGGCCTATTTCCAGATCCCTCTGGATCCTGGCTCAAGGGAAATTACCACATTCGTAGTCCCAGGTCGTGGCGCATACCACTTTCTTCGCAGGCTTATGGCCTGATGGACGCTCCAGCGAACTTCCAATGTCTTTTAGACCGTCTGGTTGGTCAGGATCTTTATCCAAAGGTTTTCGTATCATTATCGTATCCGAATCCTTTGAGACACCTCCATTGTCTTGAGAAAGTCCTTGAACACCTCCATTGTCTTGAGAAAGTCCTCGGGAGGATAACGGCCGCCGGCCTCACGATCAACCGAGAGAAAAGTGAATTCTGTTGCTCTGAGGTCAAGTACTTGGGGTTCATTGTCAACAGCTCCGGTCTGCAAGTAGACCCGGAGAAGATAGCCCCTGTTCTTGAATTTCCGCAACCGCGGAATTTGAAGCAGTTAAAGCGTTTTCTCGGTATGGCCTCATGGTACCGACGGTTTATCCCGCAGTTTGCTATAATTGCGGAGTCTCTTACCCCTCTGACGCGCAAGAGTCAGGCGTGGGAATGGGCCGAAGCTCAGGATGTTGCTTCCAATGCATTGAAGATGCATCTGACTTCGCCCCCAACGCTGACTTGCCCCAATTTCGAATTACCGTTCTCTCGCTCCAGACCAACGCCAGCACGGTGGGTCTCGGCGCCATCTTGACGCAAGTCATAGATGGTGAGGAACCGATTATTGATTGATTGATTGATTGAGTTTATTGCTGTACATTATGTTGTGCAAATTTATGGTGGCAAAACCACATAACCTGGTATACACTAAATCACAGTAGATATCGTGGAGTAATCAATACATGCCAATAATGATAGATACATAAAATACAGAGAGGATGAGAAGAAGCAATATGCAACAGGAAGAGCAGGCTTCGCCGGGTCCCAAACAAACGGATGAATATCAAGTGCGAAATGGTAGCGATGAAAGAGGGAAGAGTGTAAGAATAAGAAGGGATAGGAAGAAAGGGGCAAGAGGGGGAGAGAAAGAGATAAGAGGAGAGCAAAGGGTAGGAATGGTATCAAGAGTTGTCCCTCGGATAATTCCGCACAGCTAATCGGAAGGACGACAGTGTGGGAAAGTCCCGCACTGCAGAAAGAATTGAGTTCCACAAATAAGCCGCAGACACGTGGAAGGAGGATCGCATGGCTTCAGTCCTGAAAGGCTTCATCATAAGGAAGTCACCTCACCCAACACCGGTCGCACCACCCGACTGGCCACAAAAAAAGTCAGCCAGATAGACCGGCTGACCAAAGCGGAGGATCTTGTAAGTGAGGCAGGCGAGGAAGTACTTCCTGCGCACTTCACACGTCGTCCAGCCAAGCCGCAGATGATAGGGAGTGATGTGCTCGTCTCTCCTTGCCCCAAAGATGTATCTAACCGTCATATTGATGAGACGCTGAATCACAGTAGCAAGTACATCAGACAGGCCATCATACACGAGACAGCAGTAATCGATCAGGGGGAACACCAAAGCCTGAATGAGGTGTTTACGCAGACCTAGAGTGGTACTGGCTCTAAAGAACCGAAGGCGGTACATGACAGAGTGAACCCTCTGCGTCACATACGCCACATGTCCCTTCCAAGAGAGCTTGTTATCCAGAACCACTCCCAGGCTGCGCACGGAAGTATCAAACGGAATTGCATAGCCACCAACGTTGACAGACAAATCAGGCAAGGAATAGACATAGTTAACGAAGACATTAGAGCCAAAAATAATGGCTTTCGTCTTCGCCACATCCAGCTTCAGCCAATTTGCATTAGCCAACTCTGTCACACGGTTAGCAGCGTTGCTCATGCGGCGAATGGCATCCTCTAACTCCTCACATGGAAAGGTCAGATAAATCTGGAGATCATCAGCATATATCAGATGCCGAACTCCAGGCCCTAAGTTTACACCCACATCATTAATGAACAGGAGAAAAAGCAGAGAACCTAGAACAGATCCCTGCGGAACTCCCCTGTTCAGATGACAGAAGGATGAACACCCACTCGCCCCGCCTAGTGTAGCCTGCGAATGACCACCCAGATATGATGTAAGCCACCTCACTGAAGAAGCTGAGAAGCCATAGCCTAACAGCTTCCGCAGCAGCAACACATGACAAACGGAATCGAACGCCTTGCTGACGTCGAATAACAGCAGCATCGTCAGCTGCCGTCTGTCAATACCTGTCCTAATGTCGTCTGCCAGTTTCAATAGCACCGTCTGCGTCCCATTGAATGGACGAAAGCCCGTCTGCAGGGAGTCCAAAATGAAGCGCTCAGCAAGGAAGCCGGAGATTTGCTGGGAAGAAAGTTTCTCCAGCACCTTGGAGAGGAAACAGAGCAAGGCAATCGGCCTGAAGTCATTACGTGACACAGGCTTTTTCACCTTGCCAAGCGCAACAATAAGGAACCTCCTCCACTCAGAGGGAAAGCAAGACAGAGCGAAAAAGCTGTTAAAGAACATCACTAGATCAGGTGTTAGAATCAGCAGGACAACCGACCGGGGAACACCATCAGTCCCTTTAGCTTCGGTAGAGAAGTGTCGAACAGCCTTCTGTACCTCATCAGCAGTGACAGGCCTGAAGGAGAAACCCACGGCAGGAGGGATGGCCCCAAGCTCAGCCGAGTCCAAGAACCCATCCAGCGAAGGCTCCGTCTCGTCAAAGAACACTCCAGCAAAGCAATGATTCAAGACATCAGGATCGAAATCTGGTGTTGAGTCATTCCCAGTCACCACACCAAGCCTTCTGAGCTCCTTCCAGATAAGCAAAGGGTCAGAGAGAGGCTCCAGAATTCGCTCGAAGAAAAGTTGACGTGCCGCCTCAACCTCACGATGAGCACGATCACGAGCCGTGCGATAGGTTAAGAGTGCTTGATGAGAGTGAGTACGTTGGTACACACGGTACAGGCGATCTCTCTCCGCTACAAGAGCAACGATCCCGTCAGTAACCCACGGCTTGCGCTTCGAGGACTTCCTTACCGTCTTGAGCGGGACAGCAGCGTCCATGGCGACGCCAAGATTACCGCCCAGACATGCAGTCATTTCGTCTGGAGACGACAGGGCATCGAACACCGACCAGTCACTCCCAGCAAGCTGCGACAATAGCAAATCAAGATGCAGAGCGGCAAAATCCCTGTAAGTGAAGTCCTTACTCACATATGGGCGAGGCAGGATAGCCTGTATTGTGGCAGTGATAAGATCGTGACCATCCACAAAGGGGGCCTCTGTCTTCCAGTAGGATAGAAGCGTGTCATCATGATCAATCAGGCACAGATCAAGCCAGGAGTCTGAGCCATGAGTATGATAAGTGGCTCCGTGCGGCACAAGGCTCAAAGAAAAATCGGAGTAAAGCGAACGCACCAGAGCCGTATCAGGGTTGCTCATGGACAGCTGATCGGCATTGAAATCCCCAAGGATGACCTTGGAGCTATAATCCTGAAGAAACCCCTGCAGAGAGGGGATAAAGTCATTACCCTGGAAGAAAGGAGCATGTGGCGGCCTGTATACCACTGCAACAAAGACTGGAAAGACACCATGACAGGAGATTTCACAGAACAGATACTCGGGGAAGCCAGGTCGTTTAGTCCACACATGGGAGGAGGATGCGAGAACTGTGACCCTGAAGCAGTTATTGATGAAAAGAGCTACCCCGCCACCACGCATATTGCGATCACGCCTGAAGAGCCTATAGCCTTCCAGCGAAACGACATCGTCATCAATAGGAGGGCAAAGTTTAGTCTTTGACATGGCGATAACATGAAATGGAGGACGAGATTCCAGGAAAAGCCTGACTCTCTCAATGTGAGCTCTGAGAGAGTTCACATTAAGATGACAGACACGCAAACCCTCCAATTCTAACATGACTGCCGCCTGACTGTGCTCAAGGTAGGAGTGAGTTAGCGAAAGCGGAGCGGGAGACTGAGAAAAAGAAGAGAGAGAAAGAGAAAGATTGGTGATAGGACATATAGCAGAAGCAGAAGAGTTCATTGAGGGCCCGCCATGAAGTTTTTTAATTCAGCCGTCGATGAGATTCTGGTTGCAGCATCCTCCTTTTTCTTTATGAACACAGCTCCACTTCGAATGAAGGTATGAAAGCCTCTCTCCTTGGTAGCAGTCCTCACAGCGCGTGTGAGATTATGGAGATCTTGTGGGAGGAACTCGTTGATGTTGATGAGTGATGGCTGCAGGGGAAGTGTCGCTCTAGAGGCAGACACAAGCTCAGCTGACAACTGAGACGAATGCACCTTGCCATGCCTTACCTTCGCGATCACCAACTCACGAACGAGTTCACCAGACGAGACTGTCACCAAAAGTGACGGACCTGGCGACACCATCAGCTGCCGTGCTGGTAGGTACTGAAGAAACTGCAGCTCTATCATCAGCGGCATCGACAGCTGTAGGCTGTCTCACCCGGAGAGGTCGCACACTGCGAATATCATCCATCTGAATAGAGGAAGACACGGCACGAAAGACAGCGAACGACAGTTTTCTTATGTCACAGTTCGCAGGCGGATCAAAGCCTGAGATGAGGATGTCCGACACAAGCCTCATCCTTTCCGCGTTGATCTTCGCTAGACAGTCAGCCAGTTCCTTTACCGTCGCCTCAACAGCACTCACCCTGCCCACGACGACTCCCGACGCTTCAGCTCACGCACCAGCAGACACCGAGACAGAGTTGGCTATATCCTCCTTCATTTGACGCTGCTCCTCTTCAACCAAGTTGACTCGCTTCCTCAGTACCCCGACATCAGTCTCTACAGCGTCTACCCTTTTTGTGGCTAGATCTGCGACAGATAGTTTCAGGCTTCTGATCTCCTCACACTGCTCAGCCACAACAGTCTCAACGTCATCAACACGCTTGACCAAGGCTGGAAGCTGGTCCAGAGCTGACAACTTAGCCTTGAATTCAGAGAGTTCTAATTGAACGGTATCGAGCTTGGTGGATAAGGCATCAAGGTTCTCAGTGCGCTTGGTGATCACTCCCAGATACTCAATAATACTGACGAGGGCGGGGTCAGATAGTAAGGATGACCCGCTTTGAAAAACACCAGTTGGCGGAGGTGGCAGTACCTGGAGGGAGGGGGCAAGTGTCAAAGAACTGAGGGCCACAGATCGTGATGATGACCCTGAGCCATTGGAACTCGTTGAGTTATTGCGACTAAGCCTTACTGGAGCGAGAGATGCAATACCCCTAGCGCTGTAGCATGGTTGACATATCCGATTTTTTGACCCATTTTCATTTACGATGATCTATGTTTTCATGCATAAAGAGTGATACTGAGTGTCGCAAACACGACAGTGCACCATCTTGGACCTCCCAGTATGCGCGCATTTACCACAGGATACTCCATCCGCCATTTTGTCGGCCGTGAAAATGGGGAATGTCTAGTGAGAGAGTACACAAGTAGAGCGCTCACTTCCGCCAAGAAGAAATACACTGTAACCGAGTTAGTGTATCTCGCGGTCATTTGGTCCATCGCCAAATTTCGGTGTTACCTGGAAGGTTACTCCTTCATGATAATCACTGATCACAGCAGCCTACGCTGGTTGCGTACCCTGCGTAATCCTACTTGTGGACTCGCTCGTTTGGCTCTCGGTCTCCTCGAGTATGATTTCAAGATCATCCACCGCAAGGGTGCGTTGCATCACGTTCCTGATGCATTATCTCGCGCACCTGAGGGTGAAAGCGAAGACTTCGAAACTATCGAAGTCGCTGCCACGTCCACGGATAAATGGTTTTCGCGCAAGTTTTAAAATGTGCAGCGCGCTCCCGACTTCTTTCCTGATTGAAAAATCGTGCATAGTCGGTTGTACACTCATCGACTCTCTGATTTTGTTACATTAGAGATGGTTGACCTATGCATGGAAATTGGTACTACCACGTGAATTACGCCAACAGGCCATTTCCCAGTGTCACGATCTTCCCCAAGCCGACCACTTGGGTGTCGACAAAACTTATCGCCGCCTCTACGCAGCATATTATTGGCCAAATATGTTCAGAGATGTGGTGTTTTTCGTCCGTCATTGTGATGTCTGTCAGAGGTGCAAGGTGGAGAATGCTTTGCCCCGAGGTCACATGGGCAGGCGGGTAATCCAAGGTCCCTGGACGACCGTGGCGGCCGACATTGTCGGTCACTCCAAGTAAGTCAGGATACTCCTACGTGCTTGTGTTGCAAGATCTATTCACCAAGTGGATAGAACTTATCCCTCTCCGCCGAGCCATTGGTAAGGCCATCAAGGAGCAGTTGGAGAACTTCATCATTTCGCGCTGGGGAACTCCCCGCGTGCTCTTCACCGATAACGGCACCGAGTTCGTTAATAAACTTCTCCTCCGTACCATCCACAGGCGAATCCCGTGGAGAGGGTTAATCGCGTACTAAAGATGATGCTACGTGCCTTCGTGGAAGGGGACCACAGAACGTGACATGCTCATCTATATGAATTCCGCTTCGCCTTCAATACGGCTGAACATAGCTCCATCCAAACAAGTCCCGCGTTTGCGAATTTTGGCAGGAATCTTCCTGTTGCTGTTTCCCTTCGGTGGGAGCTAGAAGGAGATCTGGAAATTGTTCCCGGTGAACCTCAGGGCTAGGTAAACCGAATGAAGAGGTTGGAGATCCTCCGTAGGATCCTCGTCCACGCCATGATGGAGTCGTCTAACAAGCAGGTGCACCATTATAATCTCCGTCAACGAGTCGTTGAGTTTCAAGAGGGTGACTTAGTTACGCAGCGGTCTCACCCCTTGTCAAACGCCGCTAAGCGATTCTCCGCTACCCTCGTTCCACCTTTCAAGGGTCCCTTCATCATTCAGAAGAAGGTCTCCCGGGTTCGATATCAACTCGTGGATTTTTCCGGTAAAGGTCAGGGTGAGCATTCCATCCAAGATCTGAAACCATATCGTAGTCAACAGCTCGACCCTTAAAACACGTCTTCATTGAAAATTCCCTGTCAGGGTGTATTAGGCTCCCCATTCACTGCGGTCCAGCTGCCACAATCCTCAACGACACGGGCTGTACCTGGCGTCACTCCCGAGGTGATGTCAATCATCCAGCAACTCCTTCGTTTGCCGCAGCAGCCACCAGCCAGCGCGTCACCTGCCCAGTAATCGCCTCTACCCCCAGGAGAGCCTCCTGCGAAAGCCTGGGGCACCAGATATCCTCCCCGCTCTTAAGCGGTGGTACTCGACGACTCGAGTCACAGACCGGGTCCGTTAGATCTTATATTCTTTTTTTTGTTATCTGTTTTTCACGATAAGGCTACTAACGGCCCACACCATTTTTGTTATTTAGTTTCTCGAACGAGAACCACAGAAGTGGACGTAGTTTTTTTCTTGCTTGATCGATCTTGCTAACGGATGAAAGTCGAAAAGTTTCTGTTTATTATTAGTATCCTTTTGTACTTTTTTTTCATCGGCGAGAAAAGCCATGTTTTTTTTTGTTCATGTGATAATACTCACAATTATTCTCATATTTTTTTATTTTTCTCTGATCATCTATGTCAGGTACGGCGGAATGCGACGCGAGAGTAGAGTATTGCTCAGAATATATGTAGAGATACATTTTTTTTACTTTGAGTCCACTATCCCACTCATCATGTTAGGAGTGCGGCTAAGACTGAATACTTTAGAAGAAATATACTGGTTCTGAGTTCTCATACGTATTTGAGTTTTCTTCCGACCACTACCTCAGAGCGTGGGTGAATAACCGGCACCGTCACGATTCGTCATACGCTACCTAGGAGGGAAGGATGACCAAACCAAACCTCCAGCCACAGGTCAGCAACATCAAGGCATACCCGGATAATGACAGTCAAAGGAGGGGGGTGCAACGAACATGTGGGGATGTTCGTTAGAAACACCACCAAGGCCTGACAACAACAACCCTCGTGACAGTAAAATCTATGCGTCAGTAAGAATTAGGGAGAGAGAGAGAGAGATTATCGTTTATCCCACTTCGATGGAGGTCGTGAGCTAATAGAATTTTCCCACTTCGGTGGAGGTTTTGAGTAGTTAAGATTTCCCCACCCTGGTGGAGGATTCGAGTTAGAGCTTTTTCCCTTTGAATAGAGATTTGGAGCCTAAGGGTTTTTGCCACTTCGGTGGAGATTTAAAAGATATTGAGGATCGATAGTTGATTTTTGAGGGCCTGCGAAATGATCGCGAAGAAGGGCCATATTTAGAGTCATCCGGTCTTTTCGTGGGGTCAACGCTTTTATAACTCTTGCGGGAAATCAATTAGATTCCGCTGGAATACCGGCGCTCCAAGTTTAGTTGGATTTTTATGGGGATTAACTGGTTAAGTTTTCGTTTTTGGTGGAAGTTCGTGTGGAGCAACCACAATCCTTGCCTCCAGCGAATTGACGGATTGCATTTCGTTCGTTAAAAAATTTAGAAACAAATTATAAGAAGTAGTCTTTTAACCCCATAAATCCCGCAGAATGGATCCGCGAGACGCGTCTAAAATCATAGAAAGTCGAGAGAGCATCCATCCACTCTCAGAGAATTATAGAGTTATTGAATTTAATAAATTGTTGAGAATTACAGTGATAAGAGTTTTTTAATTTATTAATGGAGTCGTAGTAGAAGAATTGAGCATTACGCCTTCGCTTTCCCCGAATCTATTCGGCGGATCCCACAATGTTTCACGCCTTCGATGGGAAAAAATCTCCACCAATCAGAGCTCGCTGCGATTGGTTGGAATTCGCGTTCGGGCCTGTGCTCGCAACACTGACCCAGTACACTCTGTTCGGCGTTGACCAGCAATAAAATCAGTCGCGTGTGAAAAACCTCTACAAGTAACTTGTCCCCCCAGATTAGTTGTGTGATTGATTGTTTCTGTGCCCTGGGATGAATTTTTTAGATT